CATTGTGGATGGTGCCACCCCTGGGCTGGTGGTCATTGTGGATGGTGCCACCCCTGGGCTGGTGGTCATCATTGTGGATGGTGCCACTCCTGGGCTGGTGGTCCTAGATGCTACATGAAAGCAGACCAAGCGTGCGAATGAACCCATGGCCTCTCCATGAGCTCCTGCCTCAGGTCCCTACCCTGCCTGCCTTCTATGACAACTGTAACGTGGAAGTACAAGCAAATAAACCCTTTCCTCCCGAAGATGCTTTTGGTTGTGTTGTTTCATCACAACATAACCCTAACTAAAATAGGGGGAGAAGCCTAAGAGCCAGAAGGAGGGATGCTGTCAAATGCTAGCTTCTTGGCACTTTTGACCCGCCTAGACTGGGCCCATCCGAGTTTTATCCTGGAGAGGTTCACAAGGCTCTGCCACTCTCTGAGGACTTATATAGACAGTTTAGTGGGGCAGCTCCAGAAGGAAGAGAGTTTTCCTCAGTGGTGCAGCTGGTGGTAAGTTGTTCAGTCTCCTATAAATAAGCCCTCACCTATGCTCCTTAATTGAATGCACTGGGGCACATCAAAAACAAAAATTTAACAGAAAATTACAAAGAGGTCTAGTTGGGAAAGGGGGGAGATCAGCTGGAGTGGGACAACAGATGAAGAGTAAATGTGATCAAAACATTTATGTACAAAAGTTCATAATGAAACTCTTAAAAGTATTTCAAGTCTTTCTCCATTAGAACGCTTTTCTTGGTTATTTGAACAGTGACATAAAATTTGAGTAACATGCACAAAAACAAAAGGACTTTCTTTGCCTTTTTTGAAAGCTCAGCAAACATTCAGCTGACTCCCCACTGCACTGACTCTCTATCTACCCTCCCCCTCAAATGCATATTTTCTAATCCACACCTTTTCCACCAGGGGGACATCCACTGTATTTTATGTGTGTGAATGTGTCTGCTTGCATGTGCACATGGATACCATGTACATGCCCAATGCCCAGGAAGGCCAGAAAGGACTGGAACACCTAGAACAGGAGTTAGGTTCAAGTGAGCGGCTATGCTTTGCAGGGAACCAAACAGGTCCCCTGAAAGACCAGCAACTGCTAACCACTGGGTCATCTCTTCAGAGCCCTACTCACCTTTTCAAAAAAAAAAAAATTTAACCTAACCCTTTCATCAGTAAAAGATTTTCTTCCCTTGTATCCTTGGAGAAAGGTAAAGTGTTTTCTCTTATAGTATTTGCAGCTATTAAAAAAAAAAAAAAAAAAAACATTTCTTTACACAGATTTCTCCTTTGCTGAGACAGATATTAGCACCTTAAAACAAACAAAGTCTTAAACTATTTGCCAAAAATGGAGTCCTTGAAGACACACCCCTGGTAGAAATGCAGAATGGAATGGCTGGATCATAAATATGCACGGCACTACATATACATAGGCCCACTCTGTAATCCAGTGGCCTAGAATGTATTACAGTCCAGGCTGGCCTACAGCTTGCTGTAATCCCCTGCCTTGGCCTCCCAAGTGCAGATGCCCTCACACTGAGGCTACCACTTTTATAATCATTTCCTACGTAGTCAATATAGGATTTTTGGATATCCCATCTCTGTTAATCTATGAAAAACAAGAAAACTCATAGCTGGAATTTTTGCAATGCCAGTGAATAGAAAAGCATCTTAATTTAATATGGTTTACACAGAGTGAGTTCATCTCAGAATGTAAACCAAGGAAATGACAGGCTTCCCCCGTCAAATTATAATATTAAATCAATGACAGATTTGGGGAAAGGAACAGCTAATAAACCGTAAAAACACTATAAGAGTGATGAAGGGTGCCCAAGTCCAGCCTGCTCATCACCCACTCACCATCTAACAGCCAGTGCTGGGCACTCCTGGTCTCCAGTTCTGACATCATTAGACGTGTGATCACATGATCTGGAACCAAAAGACCTTTTTCCAGGTACTGTTTTGCGACGTCACCAACTTCTGTTAAAGAGAGGGAAAAAAACACTCAAAAAGGCTTCAAAGGCGGGCAGTGGTGGCACATGCCTTTAATCCCAGCACTTGGGAGGCAGAGGCAGGTGGATTTCTGAGTTCGAGGCCAGCCTGGTCTACAGAGTGAGTTCCAGGACAGCCAGGGCTACACAGAGAAACCTTGTCTCAAAAAAAAAAAAAAAAAGGAAAAGGAAAAGGAAAAGGAAAAGGCTTCAAAGATGGTAGCATTGGCACAAGCCTAATTCCAGCACTTAAGAGGCATACGAAGGAGGAGCAGAGGTTCAGTGTTAGTTATCCTCAGCTACATGAGAGCTGTTTTCCAAAATATGGGAGAAAAAGAACTTAATACACTCTTGGCAGTTTAGCCTTCTGGTTCATCATCCATGACATTGTGGCAAAGGTGAATGAAGGAAACTATCACAGTGCTTTATTTAATATTGATTTTTTTACTATGGAGCACTGCTTTTTAAATGCCTAGAAGATTATAAAAAGCAACTCTGAGATATCACAAGCAAAAATACAAGAAAAGGAATGGCCAAGATTAAAATAAGGAGGGAGGTTGGATACAAAATGCTTAGAAGCACTGGAGGTCACCAGGACAATGGACAATGACAAGAATAGGGCTGAAGAAGGCTCGACCATTCCCTGGGAGACCTGCTGGGTTGCATAAGACCCTGAGCTATTATCTCATATCCCAGATAGCATCTCATTCAAAAGAGTTAGTCACTGAGAATGACTAGAACAAGTGGCTAGCTATGTGGGTCAGTGCTGGGGGTGAGCACAGAGGCTCATATGCAGACAAGTGCACTAACACTGAGCACCTTACAGTCCTGGTCATTCATTCACTAGCCCAGGGGAAGGAAGTGAGAAGACACTTGGGAAGCACACTTCAGGTGATTGGGGGCACTCAGCATACATGGAGGACCCTCAAGCCTCACGGGTGGAAGACATACCCCTAAGATATGGTGTTACGTGTGGAGGGCATAGCCTTTAAAGCAGCTTTAAAAAGGTCACCCTCAAACCCAAGACCAGTTACTTAGACTGAGGGGCCTAGTACAAACTCAAACTCAAAGTTCTAGTACACTGGAACAGGATGGCATGAGTCAAGCAAAGAAGGCTGAGAGGGTCCCAAGCTTGACGCAAGAAGCAGAAGCAAGGGAAGGCGTCCTTCACATGTCCCTTGAGAGAGTCCCTTGGCTTGATTCAAACCAAGATTAAAATAACCCAGGGAAGGCTTCCAGCATTCTCACCCCAGTGTGTGACAGAGAGAAGGGTTAAGAACAGCGCAGTGCTCCAAAGAGTTCAGGCAGCTGTGGCCTCACCCAAGGATGACAGGCAACATGTCTACTGCCATGACATAAGACACAGCTCTCAACTTCTACCTACCACAAAGACCCACAGCCATCAGGATTAGCCCATGAAGAAAGCCCTCTAGAAAAGTGCCCCTTGTCATAAAACAGGTCATCACCAAAACTGGCCCTGTACCTGCCCTGGCCAGGTTACCTAGAAGAAAAAGTCCTCATTAAAAAGCTAATGCCAGCATATTCTAATGAATTACAGAGCTGATCAAATTCCCAAGGAGTCCAAAAATTGAATACACATTCATTCATTCATCGTTTGTTCATTCTCTCTCCCATTCTGTCTGTCTGTCTTCACACACATGCAGGGGAAGGGGTGCCAGATTAAACTGGGGTGTCTCTAAGTTACACAAAGTGACCTCTATCCATGTGCTTCAACATCCCATGGGTCAGGATTACAAATGTGTTCCACTTTCCTGGCTAAAATTTTAAACTGAAATCTATAGAGCTTTAGCCAAGTGGCTCATCGGTCCAAATATTCATGCTTCAGAGTTCTCTTAGCTCACATTTGTTTGAGGTTTTACGGTTGTACACATTCATGGAAGCAACTAGTAGATTGCTGTGGTCAAGTATACCACACAGCCAGCTGCAAATCGGCAGAACCCATTGTGAACATTTGTAAGATGAAAAGAAAATGCCTCTTTCTAGGAAAGGCACTGTGTAGGGTGCACTCGTACTGTCTGGGCCTGGATGTGGTTGCTGGTCTTGTGGCTTGCGATTCCATTAAGAACTCATTGAGCTGGGATGTGATGGACACCAGACCCTGCACCAGCCTACCACTTGGCCTGTCTCAAAGCTTAAAACTTTCAACAGCAAAATGCCACACCAATTTCTATCAATGGGCAAAAAAATAAAGTCAGTAATTACTGCAATTAAATTACAAAGACCAGATGTAGTAGAACATACCTATAACCCTAATACTTTTGAGACAAAGTCAGGAAGATTGCTACATACAAGTTCAAGGTCAGCATGGTATACAGGGTGAGTTCCAGGCCACCTAAGATTAACCTGTCAAAAAAAAAAAAAAAAAAACCTGGCAAGATGGTGTCACCAGTAAAACCACTGGCCACTAAGCCTAACAACCTGAGAGATGCCCAGGATCTATACAGTAGAGAGAACTGATTCCCTCATGGTGCCCTCTGACCTCCCATATGCAGTGGCACAAGCACCACTGCTACCGACATCCCTTCACACTAGGTTGTGTGATTTAGGAAGGTGTAGGCCAGCTGGGCGGTGGTGGTGCACGCCCTTAATCCCAGCACTTGGGAGACAGAGGCAGGTGGATTTCTTTTCTGAGTTCAAGACCAGCCTGGTCTACAGAGTGAGTTCCAGGACAGCCAGGGCTACACAGAGAAACCCTGTCTCAAAAAACCAATAATAATAATAATAAAATAAAATAAATTTAAAAAAAAGGAAGGTGTAGGCGATACAGCCTTGCTGGAGGAGTGGTGACACTGCAGATGGGCATTACACATACAAAGGCTTGCCTACTTCCAGTCTGTTCTCTGCTGTGTGCCTGTGCTTAAGGACGTCAGTTCTCAGCTTCCCATTCCTGCTACCATGCCTATGACTTACTGCCAGGCCTTCCTGCCATGGACTCTTATCTCAATGAAACCATAAGCTGAAATAAATTCTTCCTTCTATAAGCTGCCTTGGTCATGGTGTTTTATCACAGCAACAGAAAAGTAATACAATGCCCATCTGCCTTTTACTGATAAAATCCTAATATAAGGAAATTGTATGTTTTTCTTCCTAAAGGATCTGGCCAGTTATACAGCAGTTGAAAGCAGACAGAATTATTTTAACAATGAGTTACATATTACAAAACTATATGGGAAATCAAGGCTAAGATACAGGCAGTGGCTGGCAGGAGCAGGGTGGGAAGCAGGCATTTAAAAGGTAGTGTTTTGTACCATAATATTCTATTTCTTTGGCTAGATAATAACCCCCCCCAACGTGTGTGTGTGTGTCTGTGTGTGTGTGTCTGTCTGTCTGTCTGTCTGCCTCTTTGTTCTAAGTGAGAGCAAACTGGATTCAGAGGATAAGCTAGTCAAATGTCCACCATACAGCAACTTCCTGTGATGCCTAGCTAGGTCACTAAAGACAAACATTCTGTGCCCATTCAATGTCTCTGAAGAAAGACCTTGGCAGGGAATCAATTCCTTCCCGAGACTGAACACCCTGTAAGCACCAAACACAATGTGAAAGGGACAAAATTAAAAGAAACTGGGCTCTCCTTAGTATCATTCCTTCTGCAAACTCGATGACAAAACATGATAGTTCCAACACGCACAGGTCTAAGAGGCCTGATCATCCCTAAACTGTAGCTTTTTGATCCCAAAGACTCATTCTTGCTCTCTCCAGAATATTCAGGCACTTACTTGAAAAACAGAGTCAGTCCTCCTATGAACTGTTTACCCTTCAAATTACTTTGCTAAAGAAAACATGTGAGTCATCCATGGTGACAAACACCTTTAATTCCAGTACTCAGGAGGCAGAGGGGGTTGGATCTCTGAGTTCCAGGCCAGCCTGATCTACACAGCCAAGTTCTAGGCCACTAAAGTGGAAATTTCTGATTTCTTTGGAGATTCAGTTATGTCATGTGATGTTTTGCTGAAGCAGACACGTAAGAGGAACTGTGATGTCTAGAAAGAATATAAATATGACCCCACAGACAGAGTGACAAGGCTCTGGCATTGGTTCACCTTGCACTGTGTAGCTGGCCTTAACTTATGACTTCATAGAGAGTAACTCACCAAAGAATTTCTCGTGATATTCTGGCTGCTTCTTTGCCACTTCCACAGACTCTTGCTGATTCAGCAGGGCCTCACAGTTTCTTCTGAAAACTGACTCATGTTTGGTGTTTGCCAATTAGACTGGACTGCCATGCCACTATTGATTCTTTTTTATTTATTTACTTATTATATATGAATACACTGTAGCTGTCTTCAGACACACCAGAAGAGGGCATCAGATCTCATTACAGATGGTTGTGAGCCACCATGTGGTTGCTGGGATTTGAACTCAGGACCTCTGGAAGTGCAGTCAGTGCTCTTAACCACTGAGCCATCTCTCCAGCCCGCCACTATTGATTCTTATTTGATGTTTTAAACTGGACTGCTGATATCCTGACAACAAAGACTGGGATCTCCCCAAAGAACTTCCTTTAAGCAGGTCTATAAACCCTGTTTCCTATTAACCTTTCTTTTCTCTTACCTCTGGTAGGTGGACTAGAAGGGAGGTTGAAGTGTTAAAGAACCCTAATTAATCTAAGCCAAAAAATCTAAGCTAGCCAAGGCAACATTGTGAGACCCTGTCTGAAAAAAAAAATAAAAACACTTTAAAAGTCTTAGAGAAGAGGGTCAAGAGCAGATCAGAAGGAAAAAAATGCATATATGATATGCAGATATATATATCTGAAAGCTTTAGAAAAAAATATTTTAGAAAATCTTAGGTAAAGGGGTTTACTGCCAAGTCTGACCTGTGGTAGAGGGGACTCATACATACAAACTGTTCTCTGACCTCCACAGTACCCAAGTGCACACAGAACCAACTACAAATAACAGGCTGAAGAGGTAAGCTCAGTGGTGCTCACCCATGTAAAAAGCCAAGCATGGTAACATGTGCTTATAA